AAAAAAAAAAAAAAAGAAACACGAAGGCAAAGTAAACCAGGTCTTGGCATTCTAGACTGTTCCTATCGAATGCTGACCGATAACCACAGTTCTGCCTAGGTGGCAGATTTAAGTCTTCACCTTGTCTCAAGGCGTAGGAACTGCTTCACTGGCTATTTCTTACTAACAGCAATACAACCCTGATGTAGTCCCAGATAACCAGCAAGACAATTTTAGAAAGCATCTAACCGGATACGTCTTGCTTATGATTTTGGGAGAGTGGGCTGTATAAACAGCTTTGTCCTGGTTCTCCCTGAAGGCACACAGGATGGCTGTGCTGAGAAACAGCTCAAGGTTCCTGGGTAGAAAGAGGGAGCTCTCTGCCACTGGCACGTGCTCATCAGCTCACTCCCCGCTCTGCTGTCAGATAAGATAGTACTGCAGCTCAGACTAAAGAGACTGCATTCACACCACCCTGCAAAGACAAAGGACTCCCTGAAGTTCAGCTGTGAGACTCTTGTGGGAATTGCACAGGCCTGAATCAGCACAACTGGTGTCTCTGCTTCCGTTCTTCTCATCACATGAGCACAGAGATTCTCACGTTGAGACCAATGAGACCAGGCGAGACTTAAAAAACTCCCTTCAGGGACCATCCACGTGGTGGTCTTCTGACTTCATATTTCAGGCCATCGTCTCAGGGCATGCCATGCAGTCACCTAGAAACAGGTGAGCTGGACCTGGCTAGGATGGACGCTCAGACCTGTTCTGTGGTCATAAAGAGGCCTAAGTGTAGCCTGATCCTGTCAGTGCTGCCTGGACCTCTGAAAGCTGTATCTGCAGTGACACGAGAACCCTCATCAGGCTCCCATAAACACCAATCATTGCTTCTTGGTCAAACTCCCTTCCCTCTATCACTCTCCCTCCCAGAAGATAATTCTTCAACCAAGCAATCATCAGTCAGATATGGAATTAACAATAACCAGAAACCCCATCACCTAACATTAAACTGAATGTTTATGCATGAAATGCCATCTGAAACTTGCTTTGCAAGAATCCCGTGGTGAAGGAGGAATGCGCTGGAGTATTACTGACAGAACACTGGCCATGTGTCGACAACTGTGAAAGCTGGATGGTGGGTACGTGAGGGTTCATTACACTATTCTCCCCCCATTTTTATTTACATTTGCAATCAGCCATAGTAAGAGTTGTTCACGCTAAACTGGAAAACATCAGGGGTTACCAGAAGATGCGTTCAGTACTCATTTTCATTCCCTTGCAGGAAAAACCCATCAGACAATTCTTTCTCTTGGTGATATTAACCACTTCAATAAGAAAGAGTTTTGAAGGAAATCCGTGGCTCACATGTAGTATCACTCCTTTGTCCAGCAAACTCTGCTTTTTGGCTGTCATAACGAAATAGTGTGTGTCATCTTTGTAGTAAACGATGTTCTCCAAGTCAATACCTAGGGCCAGAAGACAAATGTGTGCATGTAAGAGTTTGCTGAGATGAAGGTGCATCAGGGCAGCCTGAAAGGTTACACAAAGGCCTACAGAGACAAGCACCTGAGACTCCAGGCAGGGAAAGGTGTCTAAGCCCAGATTCTCACGTCCTGCATCATTAGTTCATGGAAATACAGGGAGCTTTGTTTCTCCGTATTCACTCAACACCCCAAACGATCCTAAAAACAGTGACTGCTAGGAAACAGAACTGGAGGGACGGGAATAAAAAAAAAAAAAGAAAAAAAAAAAAAAAAAAAAAAAAAAAAAAGAGGCTACCCTCTAAAGAGGGCTTGGATTAGTTATCGGGTTAAGCCTCTCGGGACAGTCATCAAGGAAGCTGGAGGAATCTCCTAGATTCTTAAGAACAAGATAGACAACTTGACGCCTGGAAGCAGAGAGTGAACTACTGACTTTCTAATTCAATTAGTCTAAAAAATAGATGTAATGGAAAGAAATCAAGTTCTAGAAAACAAAAGAATGAAGGCACATTTAGCAAAATATCCACGTTGATCTATTCAAAACCTATCATACAACAATCTCACTGCTATCTGACACACGGTTTGCCTTCAAGCCTGAGCTGGAACTCAGGAAGAAGACTACATACTTAAAAGGCCTAAAGTCAGCTTCCCAACCAAACCAGGGAGCCACCGGCCAGCAGCTACACCAAGCAGCATGACTTAGCATCACAGCACAGGGTAGGCATTGGGAAGAACCAGTGGAGGCAGAACGAACGCTTTAAAACAAATAAACAAGCAAACAAAAAAACTCAGACTGGGTGTGGTGGCTCACGCTTGTAATCCCAGCACTTTGGGAGGCTGAGGCAGGTAGAGCCCAGGAGTTTGGGTCAAGACCAGCCTGGTCAGCATGGTGAAACCCCATCTCTACTAAAAATACAAAAATTGGCCAGGCCATGGTAGCAGGCACTCGTAACCCCAGCTACGCGGGAAGCTGACGCAGGAGAATTGCTTGAGCCTGGGAGGCGGAGGTTGCAGTGAGCCAAGATAGCACGACTGCACTCTAGCCTGGGGGAAAAAAGAAAAAAAACCCCCCCAAAAAAAAAAAAAAAAAAAAAAGGGGGGGGGTTGGATTATTCCCAAGAGAACATAGACCTTGCTGCCTAAAACACACAGTCATGGCTTTTCCATTTGCTTGGATTAATTACTATTCCTTTGATCTTATCCTATCTGCCTCAGGGTTGTTCTGAGTATCACATACGTGATAGTACTTTGTGAACTGAAAGGGCATTTCATTATCTTCCGGGTAGTAAATGGCTTTTGTCAAATGGGACCACATGAAACACTCAGCCTTGCGTAACTCATGACACCCAAAGGAAGAAACCAAAAAAGCTTGAGTGCCAAAAAGACATGGAGGTGGGAGCAATGGTAGTTCAGGAGGCTGGGAAGGAATATGTTGAAAATGAAACAGAGGGTTTCAAAATAGTAAAATGAGACTCTGAAGGACTCCATAGAAACCCACAAACAAAGAAGAACAAAGGACTGAAAAACTCCTTTTCTGTTTTGGAGGTTCCTGGCACACTGAGCCAAGTCTTTATTCTCTGAAAGTGGGGCCTACGGTTTCTAAGTGGCCCTGATGGTCCTTTCAGCCACCACTACAAGATGTTAAAGCCAAAACACAAACACTCAGGTTGGTCCTAGAAAGACTGTTTGTTCAACACTAAGTAGCCACATGGGTTTAGTGTTTAACAGCATACACCGAAGGTATGGCCTCTGCCCTCTTAAAAAAAAAAAAAAAAGAAACACGAAGGCAAAGTAAACCAGGTCTTGGCATTCTAGACTGTTCCTATCGAATGCTGACCGATAACCACAGTTCTGC